AATAGATTAGTCTCTCTCTCTCTCTCTCTCTCTCTCTCTCTCTCTCTCTCTCTTTCTCTCTCTCGTTGTTTAATTACTCCGATGAAATTACGATTTAATATATATACATACATATTAGAGGGTCAAACGTGAAGCAATTTTCGATATCGAATTTGGGGAAACGCGTTTAAAAGTGGGGGAGGGGATAAAAATTCGCAGGGGCGGTAAATTGCGAGGGAGGGTGGAAATTGGCGAGCACTTTTTGCATCCCGGCGGTTTCGGGCTAAAATTACCGGCTATAATTTTGACCGGTGGTCAAACGCGTGCAGGGGATAACAACGCGCGGGTGGAGGGGGAGGAGGATACTGTGCGTAATTCGCGTCGACGAGCTTTCGGGGGATAGGGCGCGTGATTAACAGTTTAGAACCGGGTTTCCACGGAGCAGGAAATGTTTAACATCTCGGTCAGTAGGTGAGCGCGCGATTAACGCGCTTTCCGTACGAGCTGGCAGCGATGGACGCGATTTATGGATCTCCACTTCGCTTCGACTCGGTTACATGTCATAGATAATTTTGCTTCGTTACGAGCATCACGTTCGCGAGAAAAATCCTTTTCTTCCATTTCCACCTTTCTTCTCTTTCTCCTTCGTATCGATCTATCATCATCTTCCATGACACTTTTTTAATAGAGCTCTTTTTTTCTTTCTTTCTCGTATTTTCGAGTTTCCACCGACACTCGTGTCTACTCGCTCCGCATTAATCAGTGTTCGTCTTGATAACCTCGTATTCTTCCACGGCTACCTCGCATTTCTCGCGGAGAATCTTTTTCCTTACCCTTCGCGTGTATACGTTGTTTTAATACATCCTTCTCGCGCGAGACTCGTATAAATCCTATTCAAACTTTGAACGATACTCGACAATACGTTCGCAATCTTTTTTTCGGATTTAGTTGATTGTTATAAAAATTTCAACGTTATACTTTCTCTCTCTCTCTCTCTCGGCTCGACTCTTTCTTCTTGGCACCAGGATCCTTCCGCCATCGTTCACGATATGCATCCTCGATATCGAAAGTTCTCGGCTGCACGCCCGGATCCGGCGACACAGTTTCCCTTCGAACCATTTCCCCTCCTTTCCCCGTACCTTCGACTTGGCCAATTTTGGATTTACTTCCGCGTCCGCGGAAGAAAGGAAGGAAGGAAGGAAGGAAAAAGCGATCTGCGCGAGACGAGCTACGTAGAGAGAGAGAGAGAGAGAGAGAAAGGAAGTTGGATCATCCCTGGAGATCTAATCTCTTCCCTCGACGATTGATTTGAACGCCCCCCTATTTCGCCTACCCCGATCGATCCATCCGGGGAGATTTATTACGAGAGAAGGGATTCCGTCGCTTTTTCTCTAAGATTCGACAACATCGCTTCGCTTAATGGAACGAATTTAATTGACGAGCGCGGTGATACAAATTTTGAATAGAGAGAGAGAGAGAGAGAAAAGTGGAAATTCTCGGGAGCGACAAGGAAACGTTTCACTTTAAATTCGAGGGAAAATAGTGTTTGACGGGAAGAGGATTCGTTATTCAAGGAGAATCGATCCGGGATATGGACTAGCTGGCCTTCACGCTTCGCGAGTCGTTCGAAGAATTAGCCGCGCGAGTTTCGTGAAATTTTTCGCCTCCTCGCCGAGAGTAGGAGCTCGTTGGAAAAAAAGATAGCTTCCACCAATCAATCTCCACGCTGGGAATATCGAAGACAGAGGCGAAAGAATTAGAAAGGCAAATAGGAAAAGGAGGAGACTCGTTCGAATCGCCGAAAATCAAGAAAATTTCCATGTTTGCACGAGGTGTGGCGATAATCGAATAGCCGTGGAGGAGGATTCTCAATCGGGAGGAGAGCATCGGGGCCCGAGGAATTGATCAATAAACGATGTGTATAGATTTCTCTTTCCGCCCGGGCTTTGTCAACATCAAGCGCCGCGTTCTCGCCAAGTTTCCCTTTGTCCCGGCCGCCCGCTCGAAAATCCAACTGTTTGCGATTCGTTCCCAATCTTGCCAACATCGGGGCAAGAGCGGAGGGGGAAAGGGAGGAGTGAAAGTCGATGGGGAAGGAGAAGGAAGAGGGGAACGAAGGCGTGTTTCCCCTTCCTTCCCGCTGGAAGCCTCGAAATCTTCTTTCCCACAGGCCTCTCCAACAACTTTTAAATCCTCGACATTTTACAGGCACCGTCGCGCGCCCGATCTTTCCTGCCATTTGCTCGAGCACCTACGCGGCCCCTCGTATCCGATCATAAGGAGGCGCCCGCAATACCTCGCCATTAATTCCCCCTGACGCTTGAGAAATGCCTCCTGACGCCGTTTCCGCTCCACCCTCCCCCAACCCGCGAGCAAACTCTCGGCCCAAGCACAAAAGTGCTCGTCCCCCCTCGTAAATGTACGTGGTTTGTTGTGAAACACGAGTAGAACGGACGTGTATACCTCTCTTTTCTTTTCCTTCCTTTCTTTTCTTCCTTTTCTCAACGTCGATCGTTCGCCCATCGTTGGAAGAAAGTTTCACCACGATGCTCGTTCGTAATTTTTCGAACCAAGATTAGATAGAGATAATTACGCTTGTTAACGAGTGTAAACGTATCGATTCGCGGTTCAATAACTCGGTTTGTTTCGTTGTTACGTGTTGCGACGTGTCAACCGTTAGGCCATTATCGATCGGAGAAACGAACGGTTTTGAACGAGGCGTATATTTTGCGCGATTGAATCTCTAATTGGCTTCCAAATCGAATAGTTGATTCCGTTCGTCGGATCGCGTTTGTTAAAATTATCGAAGAATTATATTATGGAACGTATTATTCGAGATAAAATCCACGTTCTTTTTTAAAATCCATCGAAAAAATCGAAAGGGAATATTATCGTGTACACGGACGGAACAAATGCATTTCGCGATATTATATTTTTCATCGTGAAATTTTACGTAATACGCGTGAAGAGAGAGATAAAATTCGTTTTAAAAGGAAAATATATCAACTTTCATTACCTCTTTTTTTATTATTCGATAGGGCATTCGCATCGACCGATGATCCGACGTAGGTTAATGCGACCAACGTATCCTCTCGAGACGAATCTTGCAGAATCTTGTTCGAAGTGTTAGATTCCCGAGAGCGAGACCAAGATTTCTATGGACTTTCATTAAGTTTCGAAACTCTCATTATCCTCCTTGATATTTCTCGCAAAGGATGCATATAAACTTTCGATTCCATTGGCATCGATATGATATGATTGTGCGGGTATTTAACGATATTATTATTATTATTATTACATTTTCAACCCGCAATGTTATTAATTCGATTTTTGTTTCGTGCATATGTATGCATCGTGTCGTAAAATAATGCAACAACATTCGTCAAAATGTTTACTCGACGTGGTTGCTATTTTATTTGCTCGGTCGACAATCGCGAAAGGATCGATTAGTAAAAATTTTCATATTTTAAAATACATAAGTCGCAAAAATTGATCGCCTTGATTCCATCTTATTAGGGAATGGAACAGTAAGAAAGAATATATTTAATAAAAGAAATAGGAATAAATTACGTTATATACACAGACACGACTCGTGCCGATGCCTTTGCTCTACTAAACAAACCTCGCTACGTCGTGTCGCGCGACCGTTCGAAACGGAGGGGGAAACAAAACAAAACAGAATCGAAACAGCGACCAATTCGAATATAAATACACGAGTCGTATGTATACAAACTTTACGTATATAACACTTACGCGATATTTTATATATATATAACGTCGTCGCTTCTCTGCCGTAGTCAGTAACCGAGTCAACGGGACGAAGGCAACAATAATTGTCGAGCCTTCGCTCGCGGGGATCGCGTTTCGAGTATCGCGATCAAAATCGACGAGAAATATAATATCCATTCGAGTCCATTCCACCAGTTATCCAACCCTGCAAAACCGAGTGGAAAGTTTCTAATATGGCACGATGCGAGGAAGAAGGAAAGGAACGATGGTGGATTCGTGAAACTTGTTCGTGCTTTGGCTCGAAACGCGCGTTTCCATCCCCTCGTCGAGCGAGGTCCGTGAAAAGGAGTTGGGTTGGAGTGAAATAGAAGGTGGAGAGGTAGTTGTCGAAGCGTTAAGAAGTCGTTTCGAAATCGCGGCGAAACGTCGCGGGTCCAAGGTGGCGCGTCGATGGCGTGTGGGAGAGCGGAAACTGGCGTCTGTTTGCCTCGTGAACGACACCGAGAATGAGCCGATCGTGGACTGCGTCGAAACCAAAGGCCAGCTAGAGGTTGATCACGAAATTGGACGATAAATTGGACGAGTCCTGTGACCTTTGGAATAACGTGGCGTGGATCACTCGATAATCGTTCTTTATGGTTGTTGAAAATGGATAAAAAATTGTATAGCACGAGAGATACAAGTAACGAGTTTCTCCGGGTTAAAATTGCGAGAAAGGGGGGAATTAAGAGAATTATCTTTGAAGATAGGATGTTTAAGAGGACTTTCGTTAAGGGTTCTTAAATTATGTCACCATTCGTTTTATTAAAACGAGTTTGAAACTCCCTTTTCTACGCGAGCTGTAAAAGCCTCTTCATACGGACAAGTTTCAAAAGAAGAAATCCGGCCCGTGAGAACCGGCAAAAGTGGCCCGTACAAAGTTTTTTTCAAAAACACTTCCTCTTTGAAAAATACCATGAGAAATGGTAAATAAATTCTTTTTCTAAACCGATCCTCTCGAGCTCGATCGAGACACGTTCAACGATAATTATCGATGTTTTCGCTGCGGATGAATCGTATTTTCGTTCGATCGATCGATTTATTTGTCGAGCGGGATGAAAAAGACAAAAAGGAAGAATATCTAATTCTCACAGCGATATCGGGCACAGGCGCGGATGCAAAGTTAATAGAAGGAATGATAATATCGGAAAGCTGGCAAAGCGACGGTCTCAAAGCTATGGAAAATGTCTGGTCTCCTTTGAGGCGGAGGAAGAGTGGGCAGAGTGAAAGGGGAGCGAAACAGCGTCAAAAGTAAAAAGCGGAAGAACGCCTTGCCATTTCCAGACGCAACCCGCCAAGATCACTCGGTCGAATCTCGGCTTTGTAATATTCTTTCCCACCCCTTCTGTGCTCACCCGATAAAAAATATCGCGAGAAACCGGTCAAAGGCATTCAAAACTGAGCAGAGCAAACTGCTCTCCACACCTTCCTTTTTTCCTCTTCGCATTTTTTGCGGAAAGTGAAACGCGCCGCGGCATCCACGACGTCCGATGACTCTTGGAAACAACGATACAATATATATAAAATAGCGATAGTGTCTCTACTATGAAAATTTTGAATTGTACGATTGTTAGGAGACTCTAGTAATTTCCAATAACCTGAGGAGGACAGAGAGAGAGAGAGAGAGAGAGAGAGAGAGAGAGAGAGAGAGAGAGAAGTAAGTAAGTAAGTAAGTAAGTAA